TAATGTGAAGCAGAAAATGATACAGGTAGGAAAAGAACAAATTCAGTGTGATGGGAGTCCCAGAAGGAAGCAATTACTTGTGTTTGGTAAGTAGCATGGTGGAAAGAATGTCAGGGAAAAGAACGTCTCTTTACTTGAGCAAAATCTGGAAGGATGAGAGGCCTTTTCCCAGGCACCGAATATTAGAGGGGTAAAAGTGCACAGCATGGGGTGGGCAGGAGGCAAGGAGGCACGTTGGGGAAATATTGTACCTGTATGAGGAACCGAGAGCAAACCCATCCTGTTGAGGTCAGCATTGAGTGTCAGCACTCAGTATATTTAGAAGAGAAACTAGAAGGTCAGTAGCTAGGAAGGCATTGGGGAGGATTCAGGTGAACTTCACTTATCACACCCTAAGTTGCCCTTTGAAGGTTTATGGCTGCCAGATGCTGTGCTCAGACCCGTTCATTCTTCAGGAAGGATGTTTGTCGGCAGCCATGTTTAAATGGCTAGCTGGGGGCAGCAGTGGGGCAGACGGAGGGGGGCGGCGAGTTCTCCTCAAACTTTTGTGTCCCCAAGAGAAACAAGGTGGAATTTATTAGTATGCAAATTCTGATGCAGCAGGTCTGGAGAGTTTGCATTTCTCCCAGGGGTTGCTGATGTTTGAAATCATACTTTATGGGCAATGAGGACTACCATTTGCAGATGGGAGCAAAGGAAGAGGAGAGCTGGAGAAGACACTGAGGAGTCCAGCGGGGCAAGGAGAATTGCTGAGGCCTTCCATAGATGTAGATGATGGTAAGGTAAGAAATGTGAAAATCTTGCAGAGAAAACTTTGTCCTCATTTTTAAAAAAAAAAAAAAAGATATATTTATTTATGCATATAAGAACTGCAGCGTAAACCAGAGGTGCGGGGCGGGGGGCAGTGTGGTGAGAGGATTCACCAGAGAGAGTGGGGAGCAGAACAGGCAGATCTACTGAAGTACACTGCTGAGGGGAATTTGTCAGTTTAATTGTCAATATATTTAATTTAATTTGTCAATATAATTCTCCTGCGAGGCAGGAGAGGTCTGCTGTGCCATGTGGGTTGCTCCCTGGTTGGGGATAGAATTCATGCTGCAGTGGCTGGCCATAGCTTGATAGAGCTGTCTTTAACCCCTGTGCCACCAGGGAGGCCCCAAACTTTGTCCTCATTTTAAAATGTTGGGCGGTTAGCATGTTCACGTATGTTCAAGAGCCTGTTGGTTGACCTGGGTGTGCCACCTAAATGTTGAATGTCAGGGGCCTGAGTGATCTTGTTCCACTGTTTCACCTCACCTCCAGTGCCCTGTCTGTAAAATGAAAAAGGAAGAATTCCTCCAAGATCCCTGGCCAAATTTCACAATGCCTTAAGCCCATCTCTTCCCTTGAGGAAATCCCAGTGGCAGGCTAGAATGAGGACACAAAACCACTGTCTTTGATACTGGGATGGAATTTCCTATTATGAAAGTTTAAGGATCTTTAGATTTAGATTTACCAGCTTGAATTTGGTCATACTATCTCTGTAATATTGTCTTTTGGTGCACTAGTTTTTAAAAGGCTTACCCAAGATTCTGCATAATATTCCTTTGAAAGGAATTACAATCTCATTCAGAGATGAGGAAATGTAGGTTGAATCTAACTAGTTCTGATGCAGACCTGCTGCATCAGAATTTGCACACTAATAAATTCCATCTTGTTTCTCATGTGCACACAAATGCACAGCTAAGAGTTCAGAGCCAGTGCTCCAAAACAAAAGATCAGGCACTAACTCCATAGATCTGCTGCCACTCAACCCTTAGTAATACTGAGATTTTGATGGGAGAAGTATTTGCTTGATTGCCCATTCTTGCTTACTTCAACTTCCTCCCTTATTTCTGAACTTCCTCAACTTTCCTTTTTAATACCTCAAAATTTTCCCACCTTTATAATTTCCTCTTTTTTTTTTTGTCTTTTATCATAAACTGTATTCTTGATCTCTCTAAGGCTGACCCCACTGTGCCTTAGATCACTTCCTCCTCAGATCACTTAGATCACTGCCTCTGGCACTGTGCTGCTGTCCCTTCTCCAGAACGCTCCTTAGGTATAAGCACGCCAGGTACTTTTAGTTCCCCCCAACAACTTATCTTTTTTCCACAGAATTCAGTGACCTCCCTACCCACTCACTCTGTCACTGTTCAGCTTGTCTCTGCTTCTATTAGAACTATTTTTTTCAGAGGAGCCAAGAAACTCCTAATTGCCAAGACTAGTGACACTCACTGTCCTCTGTTTAGCACCTGGTTCCTTTAACTCTTTCTTCTTGAAATTTCACTTTTGAAAACAGTAAAAAAAAATTCCACTTTTGGAGTAGTAAGAACTCATGACTGATTTCTGATTCCCCATCTCTTTGACTTTCTTTCTCCAATAATCATTTTACTTTCACCTTAAATCCTCTAGTCCAAGGTTCCCCTATTATCAATATCTTATATTCATAGGGTATATTTCTCACAACTAAAGAACCAATAAATTGATATGTTACTACTAACTAAAGTTTATACTTCATTCAGATTTCCTCTTTTCACCCTTAATGTCCCTTTCCTGTCCAGAAACCCATCCAGGGCTCCAAATTACACTTAGTTATTATTTCTCTTTAGTATCCTCTTGACCCTGACACTTTCTCAGACTTCCCTTGTTTCTTGATGGCCTTGACAGTTTTGAGGAGTACTGGTCAAGTGTTTTGTGGGATGTCCCTTTATTGAAATCTGTCGGATGTTTTCCTCATGATTAGAATGGGATTACAAGGACAACTTTTTAAAAAGATTTTATTCATGCATACAAGAACTGGGGTACAGGCCAGATGTGCAGGAGGGTGAGAGGATTCACCAGACAGAGTGGGGAACAGAACAGGCAGATGGACTGAAATACACTGCTGAGGGGAGTAACAGGCGAGAGAGGAGAGGTCTGGCATGCCATGTGGGTACCTCCCCAGCTGGCAGGGATCGAATCCACGCTGCAGAGGCTGCAGACAGCTTCACCTCCTGTGCCACCAGGGAGGCCCACAAGGACAATTTTTTAGCATCATCTATTTCTTTTTTTTTTTTTTTTTTAAAGATTTGTTTATTTATTTATACAAGCACTGGGTACAGTCAGAAGCGCGGGAGGGTGAGAGAATTCACCAGAGCCAGAACGGGGAGCAGAGCAGGCAGAAGGACAGAAGTACACTGCTGAGGGGAGCAGCGGGCGGCAGGAGAGGTCTGCGCGCCATGTGGGACCCTCCTCAGGTGGCCGGGGAGCAGCCGGGGATGGAACCGGCACCGCAGAGGCTGACGGGCAGCTTCGCAACCCAGCGCTCAACCGCTGCGCCACCAGGGAGGCCCACAAGGACAATTTTTAATAAGATTTTCAAAGTAGTACTTGGCCAAAAAAAAAAAAAAAAGGTTAAGAAGGGTTCAACATAGGAGTTCCCTAATGATCTGATCTAGGCTCGTGGCATTTTCTTCAGTCTTTCAGGGGTCTAATCACTTCATTTGTTAGGTCTCTGCAGATGGCTTTCAAATGATAAAAGAATCTAAAACTTATTCAGTTCTTACCATTATCTAAAATCTGTTCTGAGTCTTTTGCATATATTAACTAATTTAATTCTAACACCAATACAATGAAGTAAATGCCATAATTATTACTGGGATTTTATGAATGAGACTTTGAGGCTCAGACACGTTTAATAAGTTGGCTGAGGTCACCTACCAAGATTGCAGGGGTTAAAAAAAAAAAAAAAAGATTGCAGATCACAGGGGTAGAAAACTCACAGAAATGAAGCTGCAATTCTCACACAGGCTTCTTAATAGTGATTCTGTTGCCTCTTCCAGATCTACATTACTCCGCCTAGGTTCTAGCCTAGACATAACAGTGAACCCTTCTACCCACCTGGCTATCCTCTGAGTACTAAAATTTTGTTTCTAGGTAAAGGATACTTACTATTTCTTCTTTTATTTACCACTGTAATGGAAGTTTGAGCCAACGTAATCAGAGAAGAAAATATAGAGGCTTAAGAATTCAAACTAAAGTAAATGAAACCTCTATTCTATGACAGTGTTCCTATCTAGTAAATGCAAGAGAATCAATGATGAAATTAATAAAATAAAGAAATAATTTTAAAAGAGAGCAATCCACAGTGAATCCACATTACAAGATAATGCCAGCTAAGGAATGAAGAAAGCAGATCTCAAGGGATTGAGGTACAGAAAGACGGAACTCAAGGGAATTAGGTTTAATGAAAAATTCAGTTTTAAAGCCTATGTATTATTTGATTCTATTTATATAGCATGCTTAAAATTATAGAGATTGAGAAAAACTTAGTGGTTGCAGAGGATTTCGGAGGAAGGAGGTAGGTGGATGTGGCTACAAGCAGGTAACAGGAAGGATCGTCGTCATGGGAAATGCTGTGTATGTCAGCTGTGGTGGTGCTCACGTGAACCTCACATGTGATAAAGTTGCACAGAACTAAATGTACATGCAGTAATGAGTTCTTGTAAAATTGGTGAAATATGAATCTCAATGGATAGCATCAATGTCAACTTCCTAGATCTGATGCTAGTCTATAGTGATGGGAGAAAACAAATGAAGGAAATATTGCATATCACTATATTGTTAGTTACAACTGCATGTGAATCTACAGTTATCTCAAAATAAAAAGTTAAAAGTTAACAAATATATAAACAAACCTCTGTGCTTTTTCCTGTTCTTGTTTCTCTTAATGACCTTTACAATCCCATCATCCGAGTCACCCAAGCTTAAACTTCAGCATCCTTTTCATTTTTTTTTAGACGAACTAATTTATTTGACACATTAAATTAAGCAAAGAAAAATATATGTAACTGCATAAAAAGAATCACATTCTCATACTACTTGAACATACTAGCAGTGGTCAAAATAATGAATTGTGGAATGGATCCCAGGATTTAATGCAAAAATACCCTGTACAGAAAAATTTCATGCTTCTAACTTCACTGAGTCCAGTACTGAACGTGCTTCTTTATATTCCTCAGCCTCTTCCAAGTCTTTTTCATTCTCTAGTATCTGCAGAAGATCGGTATATGCAGCTTCCAACCTGCGCTGGCAATCTGGGATCATCATTCGGGACTCTTGCAGGATCTCTGCCTGCTTTTTAATGGCATAATTTTCACCATCTTCAGCTTTCATTTTTTAATCTTTTCTTCTTGTTGTTTTGCTTCTTTTTCATACATCACTTTTTCTTTTACCAATCGCTTCACCACACCGGTTTTGATCTTTTTTTTTTAAATAATTTTATTTTTATATTCCCCATACAATTGCAACCCCCTTATTTTGACCCCAATCCCTCCCCTCCCGCCCCCTACCCCCCATAGAGTGTCTCTGGTTCATAGTTTTTTGTTGATTTTGATTTTCACTTTCTTATAGTTATTCATTTTCCTGGTCCCTTATTTAAGTTTTCTAGATTCCTGCTATGAGTGAGACCATCCGGTATTTTTCTTTTTCTTTCTGACTTATTTCGCGGAGCATGATCCTTCCAGCGCCATCCATGTTGCTGCAAATTGCATGTGTTTATCTTTTTTGTTTATAGCAGCACTATTTACAATAGCTAAGTTTTGGAAACAGCCCAAATGCCCAAAAATAGATGACTGGATCAAGAAGATGTGGTACATATACACCATGGAATATTACTCAGCATTCACCACCCGGTTTTGATCTTGATCTGCCTCACACGGGGATCCGCCATGGTCTCTTGAGCTCTGCGGGATGGAGCGGCGGAGAACTGAGGAACCCGGGAGCGAGGCGCCCCGGTGGAGGAGGTTTTGTTCGCATAGCTGCCGCACCCCACGCATCTTCAGCATCCTTTTTAAATTCCACCTAGTCTTTGCCCTTTTGTGAGATCACATCCCCAGAGTCTTTATTTCTGCCCACGCATTACGCTTGCATACTTCTTCTCTCATTTCTACTATTTTCACGACTCTACAACAGCCCTCCCAACTGCTCACCTGCCAAAGCAGTGGCACCTATCGTTTCTGTCTACCTCTCATTTTTCCACCCTTCCAATATATCCTTAACATACTGTCAAATGGAGCATCCAAACGCACAGAATGGATTGCAGTAGTAGCACAGTAAACGGTCTGGAAGGCTCATGCGTTCTGCATGGCATGTGTGATTCACCTCGGTTGTGCTGCCAAGGCCTCTCTCTTTATCTTTTGATCTAGGAAATGAGTTTGTCTAAAATGGAAAAGGTTTTTGTTGGGAGGCTTGACTGACTGCATTATGCTGCTTTACTTTGAGGATCAAATTTACTAATTAACTAGCAGATGGGGGCCTTCCTGGTGGCGCAAGGGGTTAAGACGCAACCTATGAAGCTGTCTGCAGCCATTGCAGCACGAGTTGATCCCCAGTCAGGGAGGTGACCCACATGGCACAGCAGACCTCTCCTGATTTGCCTGCTGCTCCCCTCAGCAGTGTATTTCAGTACAGCTGCCTCTTCTGCTCCCCACTCTGTCTCTGGTGAACCCTCTCACCCCTCAGACCTCTGGCCTGTACCCCAGTTCTTATATACATAAATAAATAAATCTTTTTAAAAATTTAGAATATTGTGCTGATATGTGAATTTCAGGGGTATGAGTGACAAAAATGTATCAGTGAAAATAATGTAAGTGAAAGAATCTTGAAATCCATAAGACTCCACAAATCCTGATTGTTGCTATTATTACCCTCTGAACAGTGTTTTTAGAGACAAATAATAAAGTTACTTTGTTTTAGTTTTTGCTTAGCAAAGTATTTTTTAATATTACAAAATGCAATATAAGTAAGATATAAATTCAGTTCTAAATATTACTGTAATGTAGATGAAAATAATAATAGTTTATAGGCATAAGATATGTGCCAGGTACATGCTTATATTATGCCCAATTATCATAAAATTCCACTGTATTACATCCATACATTTTTCAGATGCTAAAATTTTGGAATAGTCCATTTGAATTTCACACATAGTAAGACAAGATTTAAATTTAAATTTTTTTTTAAATTTTTTTTATTTATTTGTTTGTTTTGTTTATACAAGCACTGGGTACAGTCAGAAGCGCGGGAGGGTGAGAGAATTCACCAGAGCCAGAGCGGGGAACAGAGCAGGCAGAAGGACCGAAGCACACTGCTGAGGGGAGCAGCGGGCGGCAGGAGAGGTCTGCGCGCCATGTGGGACCCTCCTCCAGTGGCCGGGGAGCAGCCGGGGATCGAACCGGCGCCGCAGAGGCCGCGGGCAGCTTCGCAACCCAGCGCTCAACCGCTGCGCCACCGGGGAGGCCCTAAATTTAAATTTAAGGCAAGATTTAAAGAGAAATTTAAATTCATGTCTCTCTAACATGATCTTTTACAGAAAATCAAGAGCTAATAAACATCCAGTTTATGTTACTATTGGTTTTAAATAATAAGCTACTTGGTTCTAGTTTTCTCACTTGTTTATACTATTAGAAAAAAAAGGAATCTTTAAAATTACGTGACTTGGGAATAGCACTGTTTAATTGGTTTTATTTAACATCTCCAAAAATCTTCGTTAAAGTTACCTTGTGAGTTGGAAATAAGTTGTTTTAAAATGTTAGTTACTTAAAACTCGATTATGTCAGAACAAGGAAATGGAGCTTCTTCTGAATTCATCTTCTAAGAATTATTTATGAAAATTCTATATTAGTTTCCGTCCCCTCACCTATATTCACATGAATAGTTTATAATGGATTTCAAATCTAGTAAAATATGGTCAATTTCCAAATCACTGCCAACTAGATCATCAAAGTTTAGTTTCAGTACTTCCAGGTGTTTGTGATTGTTGTTTGCTGTCCAAATTGCCAATTATTTATTTTAACTATTTCATCAACATGGTCAGCTGTAGGCACTGAATAAATGCTTTGGCTTATTGGCACTGAATTGTTAATGTCCATTCATTCACTGCTTCAAACACATATCCATTTTGTTCTGTCAGCAAACACAAATGCCGAGGGACATGTGGCAGAAGCAAAGTTTGGTGATAGAGAGGTGGAATGATGGTGTTAGGGCAAATTCATGTTACCAAAGATTCCCTGGGGGACAAGATACTTTGAGAAAGCCCACTGCAGTGCTGTTGGGAATGTTTTGCTGTAATTATTATCAGTGGCCTGTGGATTATATGTAATTATTATCAGTGGCCTGTGGACCTATAGTCTCTGAGGCTTGGTTGGGGCAGGAAAGCCAAACAGTCAGTTTCCACAACCCCAGAAAGAATGAGTGACATATGAGGTAAGACACTTTTGGAGAATAAATTGTGTCTTAACGTGTATTACCAAGAAAAAGAAGGGAGGGAAGTACAGGGTTGGGAATTCAATCATTTTCTTTTTACCTTGGATGGGGAAAAGAAGGCAGGGGGCCAAAAAATTCTTCCCAGAAGCAGTCTCTAAATTGAAACTGTCAAGTTTGGGAATCTCAAATGCTTCTGCAAATGAAATGGAGAGGGTGCTGTGAAAAACTGGTTATGCTCTACTCGTGGGAGTCTTCATCAGTTAATAACAAATTTCTGTACATAAAAAGTTAACCACAGATTTACCACAGAATGTCAACCTGATGAAAATTAATGGGTTATCAGATAAGAAAAACAAGGGAAGTAGAAATAGACCTTGTTCTCTCTCTGAACTCTCAAGCAGTTTTCCCTCAAATCTTTGAAACCTATTTCTTGGGACAGAATAATATCTTTAGTAGAAATATGCTACATTAGTGAATTCCACCCACAATCTGCTATAAGGAGAGTCTTTTGTGAAATTAGAACATATAGCAGAGGAGATTTTCAACTAGATAGCAATGGAATTTAACTACTATCTTAAGGAATACCAGATGGGTCTGTCTGATGCCAGATAGAAACTTAAGGTCAGAAGGGAAATAAAAAAAGAAGAGACAAGGAAAAAAATTCATTGGAACAATGGAGATTGAGGGAGCAAAGTATTTCTCTTCAGAACTATCACCCAGTCGTGGTGTCAGACAAGGGGCAGCCATGTTGACATGGGCCTAAAATGTGTCAGGCAGAGCAAATCCACGTGTACAGCACCTGCGTGCCGGGTCCATCGTTTCTAGCAGCCACACCCTCCTGGCATCTCCGCACCCCTCTCCCAGGAGTGCTTGTTCCCTCACTCTGAGGTACTCTTCCTTCCTGCTCCCAAGAATTCTCACTCAATTTTATTTTATTTTTTATTTATTTATAGATTTATTTATTTATGCATACAAGAGCTGGGATGTACGGGTCAGAGGTGTGGGGGGTGAGAGGATTCACCAAAGACAGAGTGAGGAGCACAACAGGCAGATCTACTGAAATACACTGCTGAGGGGAGCAGGGGGTGAGTCAGGAGAGGTCTGCTGCACCATGGGGTCAGCAGGCTGGGGATTGAACTCATGTTGCAGTGGCTGTGGATAGCTTCATAGTGCTGGGTCTTAACTCCTTGCGCCACCAGGGAGGCCCCTCACTCAATTTTAAATAAGATGCTAGTTGTATACTGTTTGCAGGAATGTTTGTATCTCCCCCCAAGTTCTTAAGCCCAGCCCTTATGCCCAATGTGATGATGTTGGAAGGTGGAGGCTTTAGGGTTAGATGAGATCATAGGGGTGAAGCCTCATGAATGGGGTTCATGACCTTATGAGAGAGAAGTTACTTTCTGTGTCTATGCTCCTTCATCTGCAACCCTGAAGCGGGTCCTCACCAGAACCTGACCATGCTGAACTGCTGATATCAGACTTCCAGTCCCCAGAATGGTGAGAAATAAAACTCTGTTGTCAAGGAAACACCAGACTATGGCTTCCGTTAGAGCAGCCTGAATGCACTAAGCCAGACATGCTATGCATTTTTGGCAGGGAGCAAACCCTTTCTTGAAAAGTGACAATCCAAACATAGAGATGTAGGCATAAAACCAGCTGAAGGAGAACACTGATTTAGGCTCCATGTTCCTGATCTGCTTGTCTGCTGTGACTTTCTTACTGGGATCTGTGTAGTGCAACAGCAACCTTAAAGTATCCCCCAAATCCATGTCTTGACAGGTGCTACCCTCCAGACAGATGAAGGATAGGCATTTCAGTTTGGGTGGGTTGATGGGGTGAGTAATACAGGGTAGGGAGGTGGTTATATTAATCAGTTAAGTGATACCAAAAGCTCTCGCCTGAACTCTAGG